AATCGTGCAATTATTTAAAATAAAAGTTACCTTATAGCTAATAAAATATTTTTTTCCTTTCAACCCCTAAAAATCACCTCTGTATTGACAAAAATGATAAAAAATTACTTTTTAAAAGCTTGGAATGCTTTAACGGTGCAATTATTTAAAATAAAAATTTCCTCATTGCTTATGAAAGAATTTGTATCTCATAACACTTTTCAACCGTTATAAATTACCCCTGTGCTAAAAAAATTATAAAAAATTACGTTTTAAATCTTGGAATGGTATAATTGTGGAATAATTTAAAATAAAAATTCCCTTATATTGCTTATGAAAAAATATTTTACTTTTGCCATTTTCAACTCTTATAAACTTAAGGTATATAAGGTATAAGTTATGTTACATAAAAAATGATCATAATCCCATGGAGAATTGAATAAAAATACAAAAAAGTGGGGTTTCCATTTAAAAAAGTTGGCCTTGATTTCATAACTTTTTTTTGGGCCACCCTGTATAAATAAAAATTGCTTCATAAAATGCGCAACTAAAAATATAATTCGACGGGTCCGAGTGATTTTTCAAATAACGAACATCTGATTTTTAAATAAATATATTCCATACTTTTGTATCGTATCTTTCATAGTTTCAGAATTATTATATAAATAAGGCAATTTTTTTTAATAATGAAAAATACGTTTTCAACTTTTACCGTACATTATTAAAAATATACGCATTCTAAACCGGTCTAACTTCAGGATCGTGTAAAAAACACTAAAACAAAACTAATTGTAAAGGGTCTACGATTAATTTTAATTCTGATGGAAATGGTACAGCGTTTACTGCTCATTTATGAGCAACCCATCTGTTTTTGACGATAACTCCTTCAATTTTGCTCTACTTAATCAACTTTTATAAGTGCCCATTTTGAAGGTCTTTTTGAGTACTACAAAAAACTCCTGGAGTGTAAAATTAATCCTTTTTCCGTCATTTAACGTTGAATACATCGATTCGAGTATTCCCCCCAAAACAAGTTCCCTTCCACTAACCATATTTGGCTTTGTATAGGACGTACACACACTTTTTAAAAAACGATTTTCTTTATTTATTTATAACCTACATTTTTGTTCATTACACTTTTTTTAACAAAATGCGTAGTTTTTGAGTTATTCGCGAAAAATACCTTGAAAAGGTGTTTTTTTCACTCAAAATTCCAAGTTTTCAATCGTGAATAACAAAAAAACTATTGATTTCTCGAAAAAATTCTCAGAATATTTTTTACTCAAAATTTGATTCTTTATCGATTTCCAGTGTTATTTTTGAAAAAAAAATGTCCACCCCCAACAGGGTGGAAGTGTCAAGCGGCGTATAATGTTCATTAGCCTTTTCTCTAACTCTCTGCCAAATTTCAAGTCGATCGGTTCAGTTTCAAAGAATTCGGAGGTGAAAAGCTTCAATGACTGTACTAATGGTAATATCAAAAAAAAATGACCCAGCAAATTGATTTCTCTGTATTTTAAATAAATTTCGACTACACAGGGTGTTCCGTTTCTTCCTGTCTTTACCCAACTTCATTTTTTCACATGGAATAACATGTATATTATTGCATTTTTGAAATCCTAAGACAGATGGTGTTCTACATTACCTAATACATTTCAAATAGAAAAAGTAGCATGTGCGAGATATAAAATACAAAATTTGTTACGTCCGAAGATCGAAACCGACATATGGCTGGTGGTTCTGCTGACGAATGATGTTAGCTGTTAACTTAAATTAGTTTATTTGTCTAAATACTAAATAAAAATATAAGGGTATAAGGATAAGGGGAACGGGTAGCAAAGAAACTTTTTATTTAGGAAAACATGACATTATTTTTGTTAGCTAAAAATTAATAAAATATTCATTTTCAGATAAATATGTTGAATTTTTACCTAAATTCTAATATAGTTAAAGTAATGGAAAAAACAGCATCAATAATGATAAATGAAATACACGAAAATAAATAGTTGGTTGATGGCTTTTAGCCAAACAAAAAACTAAACCCCTAAAAAACTTATCCCCACTTAAAGATACACCCTGTATAAAGTGTTTCATTTGAAAAAACGAAGTTATATAACGCCCATAAGAAATGAAACATGAACTCTTTTTGGAAACATTTTTTTCGGTTATTAATATTACCAGAACTATGGAAGAATCTGTCTTCCGGACCAGTCAAAATGCTCTGCTTTTTCTAGACTGTGGGAAGCAATAAACCACTACTTAAGTTGCGGCCGAGCTGAAATCGCTGCTGACGCGGAAGAGTGGATTAAAAGTCAATGTGGCAAAATAAAAGATCGACTGAAAGTCAAACTTACCCTATTCAAAACGAGGTACGAAAGGATACAATATTCTATATACGAGAAACGGCTGGAGGAGTTGACCTGCCATTCTAACAGGCTCCAGACGCATCAAATGGTAATCACGGACAAAAACAACTAATTATAAGGGCGATTTATAGGAACCCGGCAATATTTAAAGGTAGATTAGTGTGCACTGTAAAAGCCCACATTTAAAGTTAACAGTAGCAATTTTTACTCCTCAATGATATTATGATTAATAAAAAATAAGGATCGGGAGTAGAGATGTTATAAAAAAATCAAAACAACAATGTGGTGTTTATTTCAAAAACGATTGCTCTCAACTTATATTATATTAAAGAATTTATTCTATTAAGTGATTTTAAAATATTTTGGGATTACTTAAAATATAAGTGAATCCATAGGATGTAAGTTTGGTAATAATAGTATTCCATCTATCCCTGGGATTTCAGAAGACAGTGCCATAAAATCTATAAAGAGGCTAAAACCAAATGTAACTGTGCGTCCAGATAATATATCAGCCTTTATTATAAGACAGCTGTTCTATTCTCCAAGCCATTATCCATCTTCAATCGAAACCTCGTATTTAACTCATCTCCTAACTTATGGAAGCAATAACGTATCCAATCTAGTGTGGTTTAACCAATTCATTGGTGAAACTTTGCACCAAAAAAATCAAGTGTAAATTATTTACACAGAATTCTCCAGAACATTCGATAAATGCTGGTTTGAATATTTTTGCATCAGTAAATCTCTTTTAGGTTTGTTAAAATCGACTCTCCCATCGCGTTCAATTTGTACAATACTGTTGCTACAAATCTGAGATATTTAATCGAATATTAAGCATGCCTCAGAGTGCGTTACTTGGCCCACTGCTTATTTCCATTTTTATTAATAATATACATATTTAGATTTTAGCATATATAGCAGTGACAGTAAATAATCGATTACCTTTAAACAAAACTTTCCAAACAGCCACTGATCGAATACCAGCGGTTCGAAAGGAAATCTCACTCATACATAATACCAGGTGTATTCAATTCATGTTGTACTATCTGCAAATTTTTGTTAGGCCGTAGAATTAGAACTAAAGAATCTAGTGAAATCTCAATATTTAAACGAAGATAAGTACAATGACGTCCTCAATACCTTCGCTAATAAGAAAGACACAATCATCCAGCATATCCTAAATGTGAACAAATCCAGTCACATCCGAAGGTTCAAGGAAGGTTTGAAAGTAGCTACCGAGGATGCTATGAACACAATTGACTGTATATTAGAAGACGCAGCCAAAGCGTGCGACGATTTGGATGCAAAAATAAAGATCTCCACCATGAAATTTAAAAAAGCGATAAGGTAGTAGCTTTATCTTAAATCTTCTACATATTTTTTTTTTTGTAGATTATTTTCAGAGGAAGGCAACTATGATGTCGAGGAAGCGAAAATAGTGCTAAAGACTTTAAATAAAGTAGATGCGTCCGCTGAAAAGAGTTTGGAGCTCATTAGGAAGGACAATAAATCTGTGCATAACAATTACAAGTACAAATTAGAAGCCAGAAACCTGGAAGCATCAACAAGGTCAGTGAGGAAACGAACCCTGCACTGTAGGGGTCGAGAACTATCGATGGTACTATCGTTTTCGATTGTGCCTTCTGTAAATAAATATGAAACAATTATTCACTTCAAATGTTATAATAAATTATAACTGGTCCGTCACTGACAGTGCTACCAATACACAGAAAAAGAATCAACTCGATAGACAAGATACAGCACGAGCAATTTGAAAATTCCCGTTACTTTTTGGTCAAACCTTAGCACCTGAGGATGTAGCACAGTCTTGACACTGTACCTAACGAATTTCTTGACTTTCTTCATTTACTATCATAGTCTGGTTATATTTACCGACCCTGACACATTATAACAGCTTATTTGGTAACAATTCTAGTATTCAAGAGATAATAGAAGAACTCGAACACAACGAGAAGAACATCGACAAAATTGTACACCTCCAAAATGAAATCCGCAACTTGGTTATTTCCGTGAAAACTTTAACCATGAGGCTGAAAAAGATGCTCAAGAACTTGACAGAGGCATCCACTAAAAAACTAGGAGATACTGAATATTTACCAATCTTTTTGGACAAATTCGAGGAAATCGTAGAGAAGATAAGCAAAGACGCGCCATTTTTAATACACCCGGAACCCGTCATTTTGTTCTCTTTGGGTTTGCACAGTTTCCTCTGTTTTGGAAATAAATTAATAGCGTCTCTTTTTAGTAAATACGGAATGGCCCAACTCAAGTTCAACGAACAACCATTTTGAAGATTTTACCAAGTACATCTTTGACACAAAACCACCCGAGGACGATGAATGTTTTGTGTCCAAATTGAATAACTCTTTGTACCAGTCTTTCAGTAACATACAAGTGGGAGCTAAGGTAAACAGATATGACACTACACCTTTTCCAGGTGTCTTCAGAAAGCGTAATTTCGGATTACATTTTTATTTAATTGGGTATTTCCACCACGACGAAAAGAAAAATATATAAGAAATAAATTCGATATCAAGGAATCACATATACTTAGCTAAGAAAAAATAACTCAAATACTTTTCAGGTAATCATTTTATTTTACCAAACCTTTGAACCCAACTCAGATTCACCCAATCAACCGTTGCAAACCGTTGGGCTGTACCCAGCAGGCTCTTTGTACCAATCTGGGTCCCTCTCAACTCCTCTTCTTCTATAAAACGAATCTTTCACGATCTGTTGCCTGCCGAAGTTAGTCTTCTTCATGTTTTTCGCGTGGTTCCACGTCTTCCAGCCATACTCGAAGCTGGAAACCTCAGGGAAATAGTACCTGTCGTCCGGAAGCAATTTTATCCGTTCGTGAAGGTAATTTTTGCGACCATCCTTGTTGTCACCAGTGTAGATGAGCCTCGTCACTGCTCGATCCACGGGCTTCATAATACCTTGAGGCATAACATCAAAAAAATGTTAGGGTGTGTATGGGGTCGCGCTGACAACCGCATGATGGGTTGCAAGGTTTGGATAAGTCTCGATACTTGCGAAATGGGTGGAGTTGATCTCGTTAGCTTGTAGCGAACTGTTCAGCAAGCCAGTAAACTTAGTTTGGTTTACAGGCTTCCACGGCTTGTGTCAGTGATTGAACGATGTCCAGACTGCGCGTTATGAACCAGTGCACAGAACATATGTAAATACCGACCAGATGATTTAATCTTGAGTTTCAGAGTTCCTTCTGAGGGCGATATATTTCTTGTAACTTTAAGAACGGCATGGAAGCTTGCAAACCAAGCTTAATGTATTTCTTTCTAAAGTGACACAGAATCCACCCATTGATGACCATTTCTTACGAGAATTTGCAGGATCAAAGATAAAATGTAAGAGACACATGGAAAAACATCTTAATTGCATTCGAGATTTTAACTAAACTGTTCATACAATAAAGAATAACCTTTTATATTAACATTTATACATACAAGAAACGATATAGAAGCGCAAACAATCTCTTACCTTTTATAGGCTTCGGCTCGATTAAGGGAGCATCGTCCGTTTTTATCCTGGGAAATCTCTGCACATTTTGGTAACTGTCTATACGGTCTTTTTTGAACTGTTCCTTTACCTCTTGAGGAACTACCCTGGTGGGTTCTTTGTTCGCTATGCGATTCAAGCGGTCCATGTTCTTCGTGAACCATTTCAGACGAAGTTTATTTTCCTTTTCTATGGCATTGACCCAGGCGGTTATCACGCGAGGGTCGAGACCCCTTTGATTCGACCCCATTACGAAATATAACTTCGAATTTAAAGAATTTGGTTTATGTACGGGAATCAGTACATTTTCATACCCGCATATCGACTGACGTGTGTTAAAATAAGTCAGTCGGTCACTAACTAGTATAAACCTTCCACTCTTTGGCTTTAGTTTCTCGTTATTTTTTCAAAAACTGACACAAAATGTTTTGACATTTTATTTTCCAAATGTCAAAAAGACACTTTCTAGTGTCTAGTAGTAGTAGTAGTTTCTAGTAGTTTTTTCATCCAGTAATTACTAATTGGAAAAATTGCTTCAATATGACTATTTATCCTAATCACGTGCCTGCGTGAGAGAGGAAGATAGTACCCAAACTATCTCTCTCTCTGTTACTCGTCTACACTGTCGCCGTAAACGTGCTTCCTCCATGTAGTATATGCTCTAAGATTCCTCCTACAATTATTAACTGTAGTGTTGACAAAATATTGCACACTATAGTCTGTTTAGAAATGAAAGAGAGTAATAAAAGCTCATTATGTATGCAAATCATAAATAAATGTAGTACTGGTGCTTATATTCAATATTTTTATATTATGTATTTTCCGTATAGATGAGGTCTACTTTCAACAAAACTTTGTGCGATCGGACTGTACTAAATTGTAGCAGGTAGCTAAAATTTAATCCCCGACAATCCGTCTTTCTCTATGCTGTTTCAATTTTTCGGTCCATTTCTCTTATAAGTAAACAATATAAAAACAGCATTTCAAAACATGAGGCTACTTTAAGCATCATAACCGGGTTAAGAGGGTTTTTAGTAATTCAGATAAAATTATTCAATATTATTATCAAAATATTTATTTAAATTTAATGAATATACTTTTATTCCACACAAAAATATATGTATTTTGAAAATTCAAATTATGGTGAGTAAATGTAGTGTTGTATAAATGTACAATAAAGAGTAGATATATTAAAATTCATCCTCTGAATATTCTGATGAATTATCTTCAACTCCTATATTGATAACGATAGGTTCCACAGTAACGTCAATTAAATTATCGAGTTCCCACATTTTCTCCTCTTCTTTTAGTACGTGATGTATACATCTTTGCCAGTTATCTGCAGTTACTCGTTCCAAGGAATTTTTTAACAAAATTTTCACGTCACTTAATTTAAACGTCGTATTATTTCGCGCTACATCTCCTTTTACCTGCGCCCAGACTAATTCGATTGGGTTAAGTTCACAGTGATAAGGTGGTAACCGTAGTACCGTTATTTGGCGATTTGTTGCCATGTCATCGATAACATATTTTTTCTGATCTTTATTAAGATTGACAAGTGTCAAAAGTTCCGGTTCCGATAAAATGTTTTTTCCGGATTGAATTATATCGGCTTTCCTCCAAGCAGTCGTAGGCGTCCGCTGGGTCTGCCGTGAATGGTAACTAGCATTATCCATGACAATTACAGACCTCGGAGGAATAAGATCCAACATCTGTGTAAAATACTCTTCGAAAACATCTGCGTTTATGTCCTCGTGATAGTCACCTGTATTTTTAGATTCCAATAAAAGTAAACCGCCATCTACAAAACCACTGGCACTACCTATATGTGTCACTATTAATCTTCGCCCTTTACCTGAAGGTGCCTTGAACCCTGTTGAAAGTCCATCCAAAAATGCTTGTCGAAAACTTTTTACATTTTTATCTTGCCATACTTTTGTTACAGTATATCCCTCGTTGACCCAAGTTTCATCTAGATAATAAATATTCCTCCCTTCGTCACGGAATTTTCTAATTGATCTTAAGTAAGATCTTCGCCAACAAATAATTTCATCTTTATCGATAAGAACTGACTTCCTGTTCTGCTTTTCCCAGCAAAAATTCAACTCTCGTAAGACGGCCCATAATTTGCTTCTACTGATTTTTGGCAAATCGTTGTCCACTAAAAGTTCACTTAAAATTTAGTTTAGCGTTGGTATTTCTTTTTTAAAATAAAATGAGTGTACTTTAGTCACTAAACACAAGTCGAATTTTACTCTACTGCACTAGCACGTCTTCGTATATTCAGCTCTAAGACTGGATTGATCTGTCACAAATACACTGGCTCCTGCCCTATGATGTATCCAGTAAAATATACTAATGTACACCCATTACCTGTTAGCATTAGTGTTACCCGATAATTACCTGAAACGAAATATTAGCACGTCCTTGGCCGGTTCTTATCTCGGGATTTTATTACTCTCTTTCATTTCCAAACAGAGTATAATTTCGGAATGCCCTTTATAGATAATGCATTTGTAGGAATTCTACTCGAAGCACACAATTGTATTGGATTTCCCGAAGATCCAGCCCACCTACAGCGAATTCATGACGGAGGTCTTGAGGAAATACAAGAACTTCCTCATACAAGGCGATATATGCTGGATTGAAACCACATCTGACTTCACCGACTTCCTCGACCACTTCTTAAATTTTAAGAAAGAGTACAGGGCAGCTTTCGAGAATACATTTTACAACGCATCGCACGACTATTACGCGAAAGTACAAAACGAGATTATGAAAAAATTACGGGAAGATAGAGAAGATTTAGAACGTTCATATAAAAAAATGCACTCGAAGTTAAAACCTCTGTATGGACATCCCAATAATCAACACCTACTGGAACAGATCGAGAACGAATTTCAAGAACTGGCTCAGAATGCTGGGGAAAAATTGAATGCTATCCTACCACCATACAAGGTATGAGACACGATCAAATACCACACTTTTATCTCCATATGTTTTTAGGACATCCTGCTCAGCGAATTTGAAAAAATTAAAAATACATACGACGAGACCAAGGATAAGCTAAACTGTCTCACTGAGTATGAGGGTCTAGCCGATATACAAACCACGCTCAAGACCCAACTTTTTACTAAAGCAGATTTGATGAGAGAAATCATAGAAATGGACGATAGATCGGAAATATCAGATGATGAAAAAAAGGAAAACGTACCTTTAAGTAACCATAAATATTTAATTTTTACTAAGATTAAACCTTGTTCATATTTAGAATCCAAGTTGAATTTGTACAAGGTTTCGGGTATAAGTGACTTATGTCTAATATGTGACAGAATATTGCAAAACGAACATAAAAATCTTATGTGTCATAGGTCCTAAGTCATTGCTATATATTGGCATTGCTATACAATACCTACTAGTACAAAGAGTTGCTTTCTACCTGCTGATAAAGAGCGACCTACTATCACATATCAGTAAGAATATGCATCCGAATACACTTTTGTAAATAGGTTTTAAGGGAATAAGGAATTGTGACCTTGAACAAGTCGATCATGTTGAAAAGAAGCATATTCTTCTCTGCTCTATGGATGTATCAATGGGGCGGGATTTTTATATTTTTCAGGGAAATTGTTTCCTTGTACTTTTTCATCCAAAATGAATGTAATTACTAACTTGTTTTAAATAAAATTGAAAAATACTTCACATAAATGCAGGTGATGCAGCAAAATTCACGAACAAAATATACAAATTATGCACATGCAAAACAAACACCGCCATGTTCTGAAGAAGTAGAATGGGGATATGCGCAAAAAACTTGTTAACGACAACTAATTTACCTATATCACAGTATGTATAATACCAATCGGTCGTAGAACGATGCTTCCCGATAACATATTTTTGTATACCATACTTCCCTAATCTACTTTCTTCGAATGTGAGGATGTTTGTTTATATTTGTATAATCCGTGTTATACAGGGTCGGAAAGTCCCCATGGTTCATCGGCCGTTACGTGAGAGCGATAAAGTAAGTCATAGAAATCCGTGCGATAGAGAAAGATGGCTATAATGAAGACGTCTAATAGTCACCGCCCATTTCGCCCTTCCACAAATAAGATTCACTTCTGTTTTATAAAGTGACGGTCATATAGGTGGTGGCGAGATAGGTGACGGTCAGGTATACAACGGTCCGATAGATGACGGTCTAGTAGGTGACGATCTGGTAGTTGGCGGTCAGGTAGCCATATTCGAGTAGGCGACGATCAGATAGACGACGGTCAGGTAGATAACGGTCCGGTATATGACGATCCGGTAGAGGACGGCCACATAGATGATGGTCGGGTAGGTGAAGTTTCGATAGGTGATCTCATTGCAAAATCCCGTGAAAGCAAAATTATCTGTTATTTGGAGGTGTCTGCTATTCGGAGCTGTCCATAAATAGAGGTTTCCTGTATAACATTTTATAGAATTTCTTTTATGAAAACGCCTTATCGTCTTTAATTTTGCTGAGTTCAGAGTCCTCAAGATACTGAAATAATTTGAGGGTGTACAGCAAAATAAAACTCTCTCGCAACGGTAAAAATAAAAGTATTTTTATTAAAAACAGCGAGCGTTCGCTGGAGAGTCGTCGTGGTATGGAGTCGCTCGCAGATATAAGTATCTGGTCCTTGGCGGCAATCTGCCGTGGACCTTTCCTGGAACCCTAGTGCATCCCTCGTATGTTCATTGTCCTTGCAACTGTTAGACCGGTCCGGGCGGTGTCAAGCTGGCGCTCTCGACATAATACTTAAAATGGGTCACTTGCGGACATGTGTACCCACAAATATTTCCAGTTTTCGATTTAGAAATGACCTTTTTAACAGCAATTATTTATAAATATAACAAAAAAACATTATTTCTCACAACTTTATTTTTATTTCTAAAGGTATTAGTCGAGAAATTATAACCTACATGAGAAACGTGCACAGTCAAACACAAACGAAGAGCAACACCAGTATCAGTACGACTTTAAGCAGCTCAACTGTCGAAGAACTATCTCAAAGAGATTTCCTCAATGAACTGTGGAAAACCTTCAAGGAATACGAGCAGATCGTAACTGACTTCGTGGACAAGAAGCTACTCGACTACCATAGAGAATTCAAACTTACCTGGAGCAACGACGTCCAGAACATCTTGAACTTGTATAAAGTCAAATACGACCTGAAAAATGTACCATCCAAATAGAATGTGCAAAGTATAAACAAAAGGCGTTTTAAAAAGTACACTCTATTATGTCAAAATAATAAAATTTTAATGATAAATTATCTTTCCTCTCATATAATTAAAGATACTTAAATAAAAAGAAAAGATTTATACAATTCAAGAAAAATAAATAGTTTAAGCCCTTAAGGAAACGAACTGCTGGAATACTTCTAGTATGTGGTGGTCCAAGTCCTGCGTGAATAACAGCGTTTCTAACGTTGAACTGTACTTTTGAACTTGTTCGTGGTGCTGAAAAAATAAATTTTCTTAAATACTTTGTGAAAAAAAAATTAAACACCTAAAAACATAATTGCAAAAGTTATAAGGCATGCATACGTCTCTTGATAGCTGACTAAACCAGTAGACTGCAAACTGTTTGCAGCAAACATCTGAACTGTGTTCTTTACAGGGTCGATATAATTTTTAAATGAAGCGACCGATTTTGATGGACTAGTAAAATTGTTCGCAGAAGAGTGCTCTTTAAGATTTAGTCGGTTCTAATTCACTAGGAATTACAGCCATTCTTCTGAAATTAAGTGCAAAATTTCACGAAATTGGGACAATACTTCAGCTATTTAGAAAATTATTGACTCCGGATGCATCTAACGAGGCGAATCCACGTCAAAACAGAAGTGGGATATGCTAAAACAACACTTAAAAGTAACTTACAGCTAGAAATACTTGTTGCAGTCTTCCGATAGTCCACTTATACCAATGTGTATTATAATCCCTGCCGTCCGTATCACACCTGACCAAATGCTCCGACAAAATCATAATAAACCTTTGGAAAATAATCAAGAACAAATTCTTTTGATCGGCTTGGGCAGCTTCCAACTTCTCCTCCATCCTCTCCACCATCTCCTCCGTCGGTTTCTCTGTATCATTCTCATCCTCGGATTCCTCATCGCTAGACTCCGCCCTAGCTAACTTCTCCCTCGCCTCGGACAGTTCGGCCCCGAGTTTTATCACGTGCTTGTTCATTTTCTTTATGGTTAAATGCAGGATTTCCCACAAATACATCTTCGTGAACTCCCCCGTCATCTCCTTTGAAAATATCCAATTGGCTACTGCGGAACACTCGACTATCTGAGTCTTTAGCATCTTGTCCACCAACACGATCAACATCTGCTGGTGGTTGTGCCACAGCTCGAACACGTTCCTCAGAATGCAAATCTGAGCCTCTTCGGACTCTGCCAGTATCTTAAAAACGTAGTGGAATTTGGAGATGGCGGCGAAGCTGTGGGAGAAACTCTTGGAACCCAGATTCAAGAGGGTCTGCACGAACACGTCGATCTTTAGGGGATTGAACCGGCCGTCGCCTTCTTCTTCGGATCGGGGGTTTGGGAGGTCCTTAAGCACGGCTAGGACCTCTTCAGGAGTGCATTTCTGTCTGATGGAGACGACCAACTGGTGAGCAGCCGAAGTGCCAGGAAGAGTTGCTAGAATAATAATATACGTATTACTAAAAAACATATCATTCCTATTTTGTATTATCAGGGATTCCACCAAAAGCAGTTAATCAAGTTCCATGACTTTACATATTTGCCAGGAACGAAATGACATAATAGATGAATCCAACAGTCAAACGCATGTGCATTCCGATATAATCCTTAGGTTCAAATTTCTTTGTTTCAAATCAAATGTGTTTACGTCGGATTGTTGGAAACTTTTGTCCTTTTGTAAAATGTACGTAAAAATTACATGAAAACATTTACTAATCCGATAGATTTAAAATCATTTCAAGTTTTTAACAAAAAGTATGTCTTAGTATTTTTTAAAGCACTGTGTTTAGTTTGTAAATAATTAAAAAATTTGTTAATTAAAACACATTTTCTATTTCAATTAAAAAGTATCAAGTCCTGTTATATTGCAAAATCAGCATCAGGGTCCATTTTGATAATATCACAATATATAATCATTGATTGAACACTACAGATCCTGGAAATTAAGATTAACATTAAAAAAAGGTAGTTTTACAGGTGCTTCAGTAATTTCTATGAAAATTTGTAATTTTTTTATATGTTTAATATTCAAATCGTTTATTGTTTACCAACACATCTAAATCTCGAGCTCCATCAAGACAGTTTCATAAGAAATTAATGGCAACGGGAAACATTGCTACAATTTTCATCATACTGCATGAATTAACTGATAAAATGTAGTTCAATGTTATTAAACTAACATATTTCAATATCGGACTCTCTCCTCATTCACAATTACTGTGTAAAAGTCAGATATATTTATTTGCGATGTCTAAAATAAAACGAACACCGCATTCCACGATAATCGTACGGTTATCATATGGATCTACGAAAAAAAAAACAATGCAAGCATAATGTTACTGTTGCAACATCGAGCCTTGTAGCCCGTATAATATATAAATTAAAAAATTAGTATTATTGTCAAATGTTAAATTACACAATTACATAATAAGACAAAAAAAGGTTAGTCTTTGTTGATGACTCCCATTGTCTTCTTGAAGCTAATTTCAGTCGTAACCCAAACAACATTTTAGGGAACAGTCAAAGTTTATAAAGAGAACTTAACACAAGCAAAATCCATATAGTATGCAAGATATTCGACATTTTTTATATTTTTTGTAATTGTTTCAGTGTTAAAAAATGAAGATGCTACATAACAGCAGACTTTCCATGCAGTTCCATATTTTTATTTTTAATATTTGCATAAATCATTGTTAAGTTGTAATAAGTATATATTTATTTAAATATTTATAGTGTTGCAATTTATTGATATACAAGCCATCAACATAATAAGTAAAACACAAATGAAACCCACATATTTTTTAAATGAACCCTAAAAAGGCACTTATTTGGAAACTATAACTTCCTGAAATCCTACCCTGGTACAGGATAAAATAACAATTAAAATATAAAATTCCAGTCCATAGTCAACTATACTGAAGAGTATTTTCATTTCTATGTGTTTTCTTAGCTGTTACATTTAGCGTTTTCATTTTTTGTTAACAGTATTGGGCTGAATTATACAGGTTCGGAAAGTCCCCATGGTACATCGGCCGTTACGTGAGAGCGATAAAGTAAGTCATAGAAATCCGTGCGATAGACAAGGATGGTTGCATTGAAGACGTTTCATAATCTGAATAGTCACTCTCACTTCTAACCCGAAACGGGCGGTGACTCTTCAGATTATGAAACGTCTTCACTATAGCCATCCTTGTCTATCGCACGGATTTCTTTACTTTACTTTGTCGCTCTCATGTAAAGGCAGATGGACCATGTGGATTTTCCAACCATGTATACTTTATATCCATATTTACATTATAAAAATGAGTCCAATTTGTGACGATTTGCTATTTTCACAGACGGTGTTTTTCTTTCAAGTGCCTTGAAGTGAACGATGGTGTATTCTTGTGAAATATGACAATTTACATAAATAGTGAATTGGTAGAAATACTGAACTGAAAGGAATATGGCAAAAGTTGTACAAATTTGGATTTAGTGTACACATTTGTAATGGCATATAATAATTACATTTTTTCCAGAAACATAGACAATTTTTTTTCCTGTTAAAAAGCTCTCTTTTTTCTAATAAACTTTCATTAGTGAAATTAAATTTTTCTGTACTACTTCCCGTTTAAAAGTTGTAGGCAATATCGTCCTAAAGAGTCTCAAAAGAAATACCACCTTAAAATCACATTAGCGGTGGAAGAATCAAGTAGTCAATGGAAAATAATTGAATGTTCGTTGTTTAAAGTGCATAAATGTCACAAAATACTTGACATTACTCAATACGAACATCAAACGTATAGCTTTTGTGTTTACAAAATGTTTTCTCATTCAGAAAAAGTTGATGCTGTTGCTAAACGTCGAGTCATAAAAAAATTGAAGAAGAGCTGTAGAGTATATCGAGAAAGGTATCCAGAGCGCCTCATTCTTTATTATAGAACCTTTACAAGATTGGAGGCGATCTTGTGACGAAATGAAGATGCATTTTCTGTTCGGAAAAATCAAATAATTGACCGAAGGGTAAGAAACAATGTTAATACAGCTAGACTGTTACAGTATTTCAAACAACATCCACGAAATTCTATACGGCAGGCTAGCCGGGAATTGAATTTAGATAAATCAGCCGTTCAACGAATTTTAAAGACGTATGGGTATCATGATTACAAAATTCACAATTTGGATTATTTGCCTGACCGTCATATTGAAAACAGACTTAACTTTATAGCTCAAATTGCAGTAAATGTAGACTGTTGATCAGAACCTTTTCCGGCACGTTCTTTGGGCGGTCGAAAGTCGGTTTGTCAGTAATTTGCCAAACAGGTGCAACGAACACTACTGGTCCATTGAAAATTCCCACATTGTAAATCCAGTCCAAAACCAAGGCCATTTTGGAGTAAATGTATGGTGCGGCATCATCGGTAGGCATTGAATTGGGCCTTATTTTTATGAACGTACATTGAACAGTATGAGTTACCTAAATTTCCTACAAGAAGAACTTCCTGCACCTCTGGAGAATGTGCCTTTGCAGCTAAGGAGAAACCTATGGTTTCAGCACGACGGCAACGGGGCACCACCCCACAAGGCCAGGATTGTGCAGCAATATTTAGACAACACTTTCCCAGAAAAATGGATCGGGCTTAATGGATCTATTCAGTGGCCCGGAAAGTCACCAGATCTAACACCCCTAGATTTTTTTTATGGGGGGTTTTAAAAAATAAGGTTTACAAAACACCTTCCCGAGATATTAATCATTTGAAAGAAAAAAATCACAAACGCTTATAATGAGTTAAACGGCGAAATGTTAATAAACGCTGCCCACAAAGAAGTCAGGCGAAGATTGGATATGTCTTGAAATGAGAGGTCATATAGAGAACAGATTGTAATATGTATGTAGTACGTTTGCCTCGTTTTTTAAGTTTAGTTATTGTTATCATCACCTTTTGTTTTATCTGCATTAAAGAATTATCGAGTTTAATCCTTTTATTTATTCTTAATGACATGTATGCACTTTAAACAACGAACATTCAATTGTTTTCCAACGACTACTTGATCCTTTCACCGCTAATGTTATTTTTAGTTGATATTTCTTTTGAGACTAATTAGAACGATATTGCGTATAACTTTTAAACGGGAAGTATTACAGAAAAAATTCTCTAATAAAAGTTTATAACAAAAAAAAAGAGGTTTTTAACAGAAAAAAATTTGGGTATGTTTCTGGAAAAAATATAATTGATGACGTCATTAGTCGTTTCTGTCAAATCCCAAAGATAACACAGCCACACAAAAAAAAAAGTTGGGTATACTTTTTATGCGACATATATTTTTCGTAGTAATTTGGCCTCCTGAACACGAATCTGGGGTCAGAATTGGCCCATCGCGTCACAATTTTTTCCTAACCTCAAAAAACTTGTGAAAAATAGTGAAAATTGATGAAAATTTACTGGGAAAATTTGGAAAAAAATGTATTTCCACATCAAATAGTATATTTTTATGTAAAAGACTCTGCTGAATTCAAATCCACTGTCAGATTTGAGCTAAAACGTGTGGTTTTTTTTCTAACCTCAAAAACCGAGCAGGAATCGCTATTTTCAAATTCTGAGCGGATTTTGACCAGATTTTGTATAAAGGGGTTTTTTGGGTCGCTGATTACGAATATGAATTCACATTGTAAAAATTCAAGATGGCTGATCCAATATGGCGGGTGTACTTTTTTGAAATCCACCGATTTCAGTAAAATTTGGCATCATAAGGATTGCTGGTTGATCTCACCTTCATTAATCACACATCTGGAGCCAGATTTTCATAAATCAAGGTAAAAGATTCCACTCCGTCTAAAAATGTGACTTCGCTTAAAAAAATGACTTAAGGACTCTACACATGTAATGATGTGTAGTGTGATGTGCTTGTTTCCATGGGACAAGACAAAAAAGTTTCTACTTTATTCTTTCATTTATTTAGTCGTGCATGGGCTTATGGTTTTCCAATCAGATTTTTTTAACTACTATGCAGTTTTCCTATGGCATTTAGATGCTTTTATTTCTTAATAATTTTAAAGTTCAAGGAAAAGGACACATTACTGCCACACAGCACATCACTGCATCTGCTTATGCCTTCAATCTAAAAATGTGACTTTGCCGAAAAAATGCCGCCTACTCGGCCTAAAATTATGACTCTGCCTACAAATTTTACCTTGATTTATGAAAATCTGGCTCCAGATGTGTGATTAATGAAGGTGAGATCAACCAGCAATCCTTATGATGCCAAATTTTACTGAAATCGGTGGATTTCAAAAAAGTACACCCGCCATATTGGATCAGCCATCTTGAATTTTTACAATGTGAATTCATATTCGTAATCAGCGACCCAAAAAACCCCTTTATACAAAATCTGGTCAAAATCCGCTCAGAATTTGAAAATAGCGATTCCTGCTCGGTTTTTTGAGGTTAGAAAAAAAA